GTTCTGGGGGTGAGGAGCAGCTCCCCGTGCTTGGGGAGAGGGCAGGGGGCTGTGCCAGGGAGGCAGCAACCTCAGGCTGCACCATAGAGCTGGTTCCACTCACAGCCTGGAGCTGGTTTGACTCCTGGCTCGCCCACTGCTCTTGTCATGAGAAGGAAGTTTTTACATGAAAGTCAACTATTTGGGTTTAAAAGCAAGAAAAGGGGATCCTTTACTAAGTTCTAGGCAACAGGGTAGAATCACAGAATCGTTCTGGTTGGAACTTTTAGCTCCCAGAATCGTTCTGGTTGGAACTTTAAGCTCATCAAGTCCAACCATTCCCCCAGCACTGCCAGGTCCCCACTGCCCCATGTCCCTCACCCCACATCTCCACGGCTTGGAAACCCCTCCAGGGGTGGGGACTCCACCACTGCCCTGGGCGGCCTGGCGCAGCCCTGGGCAACCCTCCAGGGGGAAACTTTGCTCTTAATAGCCAATCTAATACGTCTGTCTAGCTAAAATGAATTGATTAACCTCATTTTTATGTTGCACATTTTTAAAGAACAACCTCCTGTTCATTGCATCTTTCTCCCTGAGGGCAGGAGCACGTGTCCCTGTCCCTTGTGGCTGTCCCCACTGTGGCTGGTTTGGGCCTCTCACCTGGAGAACATACTTCACACCCTCATAGATGAGCTCCACATCAACCATGTTCAGCAAGGAGTCTGCTGGCAGCACCTGCCCCCTGAAACACAGCAGACCTTGGCTCAGGCCCCACCAGTGCCCCTTGCCTCATGTGCTGGTGGGGAGCCAAGCGTGTGAGATGCCAGTGGTGCTGCTGGCCTCGGGCTCCAAGTGGGCACGAAGGTGACTGGAGTGGACAAGCATCTGCTTTAAGTGGCCCACGTGAGCATCCTGTGAAAACAGATCCAGAGACAGACCAGGCACAGGCAAAACACGCCGAGATAAGGGCATGGGGGAGAGCCCCCTGTCCTCCAAGGCTAGAGGGATAATCTTAACATTCAAGGGCAAAACTAAAAGCAAGCTGCACTCAGCCAAGCTGCTTTCCCAACTGTGTGAAACTTTCCCCCTCTCAAGATAAAGCAATAACCAAGAGGTGGGAGCTGTGAGTGACAGCAGGACTGGCTGCAGCACAGCCACAGGGGCTCTCTCTGGGTCTGCAAAGGTTTTGCAGCAAAAGGGGGAAGGGAGATGGTCCAGAGTGAAAAAAAACTCAGGTCTCCATGCTTACAGGAGTCACACGAGCTGGCAGGAGCAGCCCTTTAGGACAGAATCACAGAATTTCAGCATGGTGGGGTTGGAAGGACCCTCTGGAGATCATCTCATCCAACCCCCTGCTCCAGCAGCTCACCCACAGCAGGGTGCCCAGGGTCACATCCAGGTGGGTTTGGAATCTCTCCCACGCCTCCAATCTCCACAACCTCTCTGGGCAGCCTGCTCCAGGCTCGGGCACCCTCACAGCCAAGAAGTTTCTCCTCCCGTTCTGACGGAACATGCAAATCCCTGTGCCCCCCCGGGGCAGCCCCCGCCCCGCTCGGCACCTCTCCAGCGAGTGCAGGAACTCGGTCATGCACGTCCTGAAGGCAGCGTCCGCGATGTTCAGAGCCCCGCAGACAACACCCAGCATCGTGTCCGGCTTCTCTGCCTGCAGGGGGCAGGAATAAGCGTCCTACAAAACCCTGCGGTCTTGGGCCAGAGGGGGAGCAGTGACCCTGGCGCAGCAGCTCTCCCCTACCTGCACTTTCTCGGCGATCAGATGGTCCAGCCAGCCGGTGTCTATCTCGTTGTTCTGGAAGCTCTCTGTCTCCAGCAGCTTTATCAGATACTCCACAGTGGTCCGGAAATCCCCACGGATCGACAGCTCCTTCAGGGCAACCACCATGTTCCTTTTAGGGAGCAAACCCCTCCATTAATGACCTAGGAGGTGGCACTTGGCTTTCAGCAGAGGAAACCAGGGAACCTCAGGGGTGGGGGTGATGAGCTCCCACGCCCTGGGCACCCTCATGGCTGCATCAAACAGCCCCACAGTTTGTGTTGACTAAATAAAACACTTAAATACCCAAGATGAACAGGTTATGTGTTGCTCAATGACTGAATGAACATTGCTGCTCACTGGCACTAAACAACACGTGCTTAGCAGGTCACTACAACTTGTTGTTAAGGATCAGGTCGATGAAGTGGGACCACAGCACCACCACAGTCTGGGAATTTTGGCCAGTTTCTGCAGCATAGACTTGTAGCTGTGCAGGACCGCTCTGGTCCTCTCTAAAAACAAAGGCACTTTTCCTGGTTTATGTACCAACTGTGAGCATCCCCAAGGACACCCTCTCTCCACCCTGTCCCACCACACTCACGAGATGGCCTCCTCCCGGTTCTCTCCCCACGAGAAGCAGTGCCCAAACTGGGAATCAGCAAATTCGTGGAGCCCCCCGGCCGCAGCCACGCTGAAGTACCCCCAGACGTTCTTGCTGCTGCGGAAGTTCAGCTCCTGCACCGTCCCCGAGCTGGGCTTGAAACCCTGAGTGAAGACAGGGCAGAAGACATGGAGAAAGCAGGCGTGAAGCTCCTGGAGCGTGACCAGGGAAGGGGAATCCCTGAGCATCTCTCAGCCTGGACACGGATCTCGCCGACCCCACGGGTGCCACGCCCCCTTGCTCACCTCCTCGGGGTTCTCGCTGGTGATGCGGGCGGCGATGACGTGGCCCCTGGGCACGGGGGTGTTGGTGGGGCTGTGGAAGCAGATGGGCCCGTCGCCCCAGGGGCTCTCCCCGTACAGCACCCGGATGTCTTTGATCCTGTGCAAGGGGACGCCCATTGCAATCTGCAGGAGGGACAAGGTAAGCTTTAGCTGCCTGACTTTGGCATCCAAATTATAATCGGGAGACATCGTGAGATGCTCTGGATGAGGAGCAAAGCCAAGAGGCACCACACTGCAGGAGCCAGCGGAGAAGGAAGGACGCTCCACTGCTTCCACCTGCACCCTACCTGCTGGTCCAGGGGACAGCCTCCCCTCGTCCAGCACTCCCTAGAGTACAACACAGCTTCCCCCCAACACCCCAGGGCACCGCCCGGGCGCTCGGGTACCTGGAGCTGGGCAGCAGGGAGGTTGACGTCCGCGATCATCTCGGTGCAGGGGTGTTCCACCTGCAGGCGTGGGTTCAGCTCCAGGAAGTGGAAGCTGCCATCCTCCCCGTACAGGTACTCCACGGTGCCCGCGCTGACGTAACCCACCGTCTGGGCCAGGCGGATCGCGCACTGCGGGGAGGGAGAGACCCCCGTGGGCATCACCAGCCCCTGCCTCTGCTGACTCTGCAGCACAATCCCACCGGCCCCGGCGAAACGCCGGCAGCGGCCTTGCGTGGACCCAAGGAGACAAGCAGGGCTGGGGCTACCCTGCTCAGCTCAGGGGGTGCCTCCTTCCTTAGGAGCATCAAGTGGTGAGAACTACAATGAACCCGGCGAGGCTGAGATCAGTTTCTTGTAAAATGAGAGGGCTGGAGCACCTCTGCTGTGAGGGAAGGCTGAGAGAGTTGGGGTTGTTCAGCCTGGAGAGGAGAAGGCTCCGGGGAGACCTTCTTGCAGCCTTCCAGGACTTCAAGGGGTCTGTCAGAGAGCTGGGGACAGACGAGCTGGGGACAGACTTTTGAGCAGGG